TCACAATCAGCCTCTCATTCATATCACATAATAAAATGTTCACTTTGTCTGGTTTTGTTGCAGTATGCCCCATATAAACTTCCATTGAAACACCTCAATGAAGGAGGATGAATCAAGAGAGAATAAATCAAATCAACATAATTGTGATCTAGAGAATGTATGTCCTTTAAGATTGTTATATTTATATTTGAGTCCTCCTATTTTGAAATTTATATCTAGCATTCTGTAATTGTTTCTTAGTTAAAAATTCTTAGAAAGGAAATTCAGATAGAACATAATATCAAGAACATCATTGATGTTTATGTAAAATATAAGAACAACAAAAGTAGTAATAATGGATCTCACTCAATTTGTGAAACATATTGACTTAGATGTATACAAAAATTATCTTGAACCATTAAATTATTATGATCAATTGGTTCCAGATAAAACACATAATTTACTTGTCAATTTTTTCTCACAGGTAAACAAGAAATGTAATTGTTTATAACTAGTGTTTAGTTTCAATTATCTTCTAACATGTATTGTTTTTTTTTTGACAAGAATTTAACTTATTGGCAATGGTCAAATGCCATTGATAATCTGAACATAAAAGACTACAAAGAAACAACTACCAAAATGGTGATTAAATTAATTATTAAGACACTTGATAATTTGTATGTGCTTTTGTGTATTGAAATTATTTTTTCTCTTTTACTTGAAGTTTTGTTTGTTTACATTCGTCTGCAGTCTGCAGGCTTTTGCTTTAGGGCATATGAATCCACTCCATAATGTAACAACCCTGGAACAACCTCATCTTAACGAATGTCTAAAAGCAACTTTATGGTATTGTGCTGAAGTATATTATACCTTGTAAGTTATCTTCCATTGTTTTCTTATATTGCAACAAGATTGATATTTTTTTTTTGCAAAATTTAATAGTGAAAAGAAATCATCACATAAAAGATCAAAGAGAAGATGGCATTGGTTTTACTATAGATTCAAATAAACACCAAATGATATATGTAGAAGGATCACATCCTTATAATGTTAAAGAACAAAAAGAAATTGGAGATAGAATCAAAATAGCCAGAAACCTTTAAAAAATGTTTTTTTGATATAGTTAAGGACCAAGTAGAGAAAAGGAAGGTGATGATACCAGAAATGGAGGTTTTTGGGGCTGTTAATGTAAAGCTTAACATACACACATATGTTTTTGGTTTTGTGGGTAACTCTTGTTGAAATTGAATTATCATGGATTTGATTACACAAAGATTTGATCTTGCATTGTTAATATAGGACATTATTATATAAAAGAAATTGATAATGCAGCAGTTCCAAGAGGTTTTTCAGAGATGGAAGAATTTATTTATTTTACAAAGCATTTTAAAATGGGCTATAAGTTTGACTTGGAAGTTCATGTGTTCATTATTAATATATAATCTTATTTTTATTAATCGTATTTTCTACTGACAGCTTTCAGTGAAAAACTGTCTTAAAAAATTCTCAGATAAATCATCAAAAACACATTCTTCCTGCCTTTCTTATGGTTTAAATATAAGAAATTTGGACAACTTTGCTCAACAATAATTAATTGTCTTAGCCTTCTATCTTGGAAATCAAACTTTGTTGATTGTTAGTTTTTTTAAAAAAGGATTACAGTATTTCAATTTAATTTTCATGCTCTGGATCTTAACGCATATATAATTAGTATAACATGTTAATATTATATGATGAAAATTTATTTTCTGATGAAAAAATATATATATTAATTTCAATGAACATAGAGCAAGATTCAATAAAGAAAAGTATCTCTTGATAAAGAACTTAATAGAAAGTTTTTTATGAGTTAAGTGACAAAAAAAAATAATTCAAAATTTTTTTTTAATATTAATATTAATATTAAGTACATAAAAAAATACATCACTAAATTTTGATCCCTGTAATTCCATGTGACATGATGTTTACTTTGTCTGGTTTTGTTGCAGTATGTCCCATTTCAGGGTGTTTCACACTATCCATCCATCATCCCCGTTATCTTGACATTATAATGATTAAATGATATAGATAAATCACTAAACTGGAAATCAAAGTAATGAAAAGTATACAAGGCAGTCTTTAGCTTATTCATTACCAGTATTTATTCACAAAACTTCAAACAAAATAAATTAGTTGGTGATGATGATGATTTTGATAAAGACAATTACCAACCACATGTGACTTTAATGAAACTCAGAAGTGCTTTTTTTACATTGGAGCCAAATGATGGCAAAAAAAGAAAATCAAAACCATTCCAGATGAAGTATATAGAAATTTCAAAAGTAAGAATTTATTGTATCATATCATATTATATCATTTATTTATTATTAGAATATGAGTTTGGAAGTCATTTGATCCAATCAATTGAATTGTCATCAATGCAATTACCAAAATGTGATGATGGATATTACATTACCATACAAAAAATTGATTTTATTTAATAATTTATTTTTGGATTTGAAAGTGGATATGATGTTGTTGAAGGTGGAAAAGAAAATGATGATAAAATCACAGCAGAAACAAAGAACAACATCTTCAGAAACTTCATATACATTAATACCAATATTTCATTATTAACTTACTTTTTTATTTATTTATTACTTTCTACCTTCTTTCTCTCTCTAATTATTTCAACTTTTAACTTTTTAAAGTTAAAATCACTAACTTCTACAAATAAAATATTTCCACCTTCAAATACAATATTTGAATTTTCATTTTTGTTGAAAAGTTTTTCAAGGTTTTTTAAATTTGGAGGTTTTTCTGAATCA